TCATATTCAGAATAATTAATTTATCATAATTTTGCTGCAAACCCTTCTCAAAACATTGCAATTGTCGGGAATACACTGGCTATAAAAAATCGATCAAAAGAGGTCATGTTTGTGTCACGTGACTTACCTCTCTCGGTACCGATGCGAAGTAGGAGAAGAATTCATTGCGTACACAATACGATGTTGTCTTTAATCGCTGACTATTTATTACAAATATCGAAGCCTAATTAAATTCTCGGATTATCCACCGCCCACGTCTCTTTCCGTGAATTTTATCTCAGAAAGTGTTGTACGTCTAATTTTATCATAAAGTTTATCAACATGTACATCAAGCGCTCAGTCTCCGCTTGTAACCTTCGACATCACGTGTGCAGACACTCCTAATCGTCAGGCTGTCGATTAGGGAAACCCTTACATTTTTGTCCTGTATACGCTCCATGAGTGTTTTTCAGGGAATTTTTCTAGTAAGACTGGATATCTCTACTTTCCATATACCAAAATTGTTCTAGTAAGACTGGATATCTCTACTTTCCATATACCAAAATTGCCATACTTTTATTGGAAATACCCACCCGATAAATACTTTTCTGGGAAACCATCTTTAATACCAATACAGATTCTTCATATATTTTATATTTCGATGGCATTGAAATGAAATGGGGTTTAACGTCCTACTGTTTTGCCCCGACTGGGCTACTGAAGACGGGCATACGCTATACATTGTGCTATGAGGGAAATTTTGCCTGGACAGCGGTGCTATACCGTCTACGCTTATATCGAATTCCAACTGCCAAGGGATCTTTTACGTGCCAATATGTACACGGAACCTCGTTGTTTTCTCCCATCCGAACGACTAGACAGCTGTACTTGCCAGGCCCTCCATCTTGCACCACTGAGACAAGGGGAAACCACGCCGGAAAATCCCGATGAACTTTTCTCAGCCAACACCGGGATCGAATACGTGACCTCCAGGCTAGCGAGCCAGCGTCTTACTCACTTGGCCACCGTGACTCCCATTTATATTATTAAGGACTGTGTGTTGTGTCCTTTGTATTGTAGTGTAGACTATCTAATTGTTCTACAATAAAGAGTTTATTTGCTTGTACCCTATATATTAAATTGTACCGTTTATATTTTGTAGAAGGAAGTGTATATTAAAGGTACATTATGGGAGATTAGATAAAGAGCTGACAGTTCTCACTATAATAGTTAAAAACTTGATAAAGTAAATGGAATTACTATGAAAAACAAATCGGATCAGGCTAGCGATGACATCGAGAGTTGATTATCGTCTGGTTAAGTTAATTGACGTCTAATAAATAATTTAGATAACATTTCAGCCCTAAAGAAAGACCTGCAATAGGCAGATTTAGCTCTTGCATAATGTATGTTTAATTAACTTATACCGTTTATAATTTATAGAATGAAGTGCTTATTGATTGTTAGTTTGGCTGTTTTCTTGCTTCTTCAACAAGATGTGGATGGTTGGTGGCTAAGACGGCGGATCCGTGTTGGGAAACGAGGCACATCTATGGATGACTTTGTCTATGAGAACCCATTATCTTCAGTCGATGTTGCCATACTCTTAGATGTAGATCTCATATTTGCTGCACAACTTGTTGCTGAATTTGACACAAACGGTAATGTGTTATATAGGGATAAAAGCATCATAAGTCATACAGAATGGCATTTTTTTAAAAAGATTCATTTCTTCGTTTCATTGTGAAATTTCCGGTTCTAATTTTCTATAACAGAATGAAAAATATGTGGGAAATAAATGAATCCCAATAACCAAGTCGCACTTTTTGGTGACTCGGTGGTCATACACAACATTATAAAGATGCATCATATAAGGTTTAGATAAAGAACTGGTCGTTTTTGCTACAATAGTTCAAAGATTTGATAATGAAAAAAGAATATATTGAAAATTTCAGGCAAATTACTTTATTCTGGGCGAAGTTATCAGTTTTTGAAGTTTTGACGCGATGTGGCGTAGGTTGTTTCATATCGTAAAACGGTACTTGATAAGGCTGGACATGTGAATAAATGAGTAAATAATAGTTTATTTGCAAAAAAAACATAAATACAAGCAACGGCCAGATTTAACCCTTGTTTAAAATTAACTCGTTACTTCAGTCAGTTATATAGAAGGATAACTCTTGTTTTCCTTTTTGGCGTCACTTCCGTATTTTTAAATCGTCGATACGCATCTACCGTAGCAATGATTTTTGTGTTAAAATTATATTTGGAATGTGTTTAACTAGTTGTATCACATATGTGGTAATGACTGACACCAATATTGTCTTTTAATGCATCTTTAATATATTCATTAATATTCACAACTCATTATTATTTTACCGGGAAAAAAAGCTAAATAGCGATTGAAAAAAAAATATTAATGAAACATTGATAGTAATTTTCTATCAATTAAGTGCTGATGTATTTCATTTATATTCCAGATGATGACTTGCTAAATGAGGAAGAATGTGTTCAAATGGCTGAAGGCATAGAAGAGTTACTGACCCTGTTAAGTTCAAACTGAAACAAGTATTGATATATTTTCTTAAAGATACATTATGGGAGATTAGATAAAGAGCCGGCAGTTCTCAGTATAATAGTTAAAAACTAGATAATGTAAAGGAGATTTCAGTCAAATTGATCAACTCTTTGCCTCGATCATCATTACTCAAGTCGGTACGATAAAAAAACATAGTCTCGATTATCCATTTCATGATTAAATCATGAATGGAAGTCGAACAGCAAATCGGAACCTAATCCAATAAACTTTGCAAGCTAGCCATGACATCGAGAGTTGATTATGGTCTGGATAAGTTAATTAATGTCTAATTAATAACTTAGATAACATTTCAGGCATAAAAACAGACCTGCAATAGGCAGATTTAGCTCTTGCATAATGTATGTTTAAGTAAAAGAACCAATCTGTACTTTACAAAAATGTGTTGAATTAGAAAATAAAATAGTATCTGTAAAAATACGTCTTTAATAGTTTATTTTAAAATAGAATTTCCGACAGTAAGTCCTTTGCAAGTGAAACAAACACCGAAATTGTGTTGAATCTTAGATATATTCTTTATGAATATACTACACACTATTCCAGAGCGTGTCCGTTTTATAATGACGTTTCGGGTTCAATCCCATATTGATACTTAACCAATATTACTTGGTACGTATATGTATGCTTGTTTTCGGAGGACGTTTATCGATTCAATCGCAAATGGATGCTTTGTATTTAATGAATTTATATCCTTGTCCGGACACTCAATTTCATTAACTGATCGACATTATAAATGGCACATTATAGTTGTCCAGGTAGAATGCAATACATGACCACCAAGAGGATGTTGTTGCAATTATTATTAGTCCGGTAAAAATAATAAATAGCCTAGAACAAATTGCAAGAAAGGTCTCCCAATCAAAAATCGCCCAAAATAAAAAATAGGTTTTCGAGTAATTAGCATAAATCCAATATGGCCACCATTGGCACCTTAAAACTCCAATATCACGGGAATGGTTGAGTTTGGAGGGTGTAAATGTATGACGGGTAGATAGGAAAGTGGTACAGATGACTCCGAAAACATAGCTAAAAGACGTTCCCGTGACGTCATACGGCCAATAATTAGAACTAGAAAAACAATACCAGGTGACGTCCTAGTGACGTCATTATTCATACCTTGAAGGTCTGCCAAATAAAAATCGCCCCCCCCCCCCCAAAAGATAGATTTTCGAGTAATTAGCATAAATCTAATAAGGCCGCCATTGGAAACATGCGGGTAGGTAGGAAAGTGCTAAATCAGAAAAACATTGCCAAATTACGTCCATGTGACGTCATAACGCCCTAGTCCAATTATTAGTATAAATCCAATATGGCCGCCTTTGGACTCTAATATTTTATGTATTATGGGCAGACAATGTGAAAAGACGTAATGATTAAACGAAGAATCGAGACAATTCTTCGATAATGTTAACCTGGACCAGAAACAAAAAAGTTTTTGAGTGCATTGACAAATTGCTGTAGAATACACAATCACGTTCAACTGTTTAAACGATCCTTTGGCTCCATCCTATTTATTCGATTTGATTAAAGGAATGCTCCACTCATCAGAAAACAAATAAAAACATGGTCACTAGTTAAAACATTATTAAAACAATATATCCAGAAAAAATCAGTGATATTCATTGACGATTTATGTTTTTATTGCCATTTATTAAATGAAACTGTTCAAATGATGCGCGAGTCGCCATTTTGAGCGATCACATGACCAGGAATAGGTTCATGACGTCACATGTGCGTACACGGCTGGTAAACAAGTCAATCAGCTGTTCTAAAAACATGGCGGAATACTTCTCGGATTCGTCCTCAGATGCTGAAATTATTTGCGATATTCAAACGTTAAATGGGGGAATCCAGCCTTACAGGTTCGAGCCAACAGGAAAGAGTAATGCAGAGCTCAGTGATAGTGATGTCGGCGGGAATAATGCGGAAGAACGGGGCAACGAGGACGGAGAAGATGAAGGCCCTCACAACCACGCCATAGATTTTGAGGCACGGCTCGATCAACAGGCTAGCGATTGGTGTGTATGCGATCGCTGCATTTCCATGAATAACCCAGTGATGAACTTCTGTTGTCATGAACTGAATGCACTTGAGGGGAGAATATACACAGAAGACCTGGATTGCATAACGTTGCACAGCGAATTCGACATGGTTGTACTGCAGAAACCTATTCTTAGGACTGCACTGGTTGCAATGAAAGACGTGAAACGAGGTAGTCTCGTAGAACCCATCAGTGAGAGGTAAGAAGATACAACTTCATTCATTAGGCCTACCACTCAAGCCAAGGCATGAAAGACCAGACTCCGAGACAAGTCCATTAGTCACCACCAACCCAGTCAAGGTGGGGGTCAGTGTCAACGACGACAGTGAATTGAAGAAGGAAAACCATGTTTTAGACACACATGACATGTACATGTAATTGTAATCATGTATCATGTAGTTTTATATTTTCACTGATGAAACACATGAACATAAAATAGATACATACATCATATTTCTTTCAAAACATTTTTACCAATTTCTTTTTCCCTTTTCAGAACCTTCCGATTGGCTGCATACCGTCAATTCACCTGGTGGACACACGATCGGCTCGGAAAACGTGTGCGGAAGGTTATCCCCTCATGTGTTGTCGATAAAATCAGAGCGACTTACCCAGAGCCCAGCGGAGAATATACAGGATTTAGAGACGCTGATGAGACTGACACTGTGTACCCAGACTAGCATTGCCCAGCTACGACAAATGTCCATTAGTACATGTACATTTATAAAGATTGTTATTAAGGCTCAAGAACAGATTTTCCAATAGTGATTTTCAACATGAAAGATGTTAGTTTTGAAAATGAATTTCTGATATAATCTAGACTTTTTGGCACTAACTTTTTGGTAAACTCATTTCAATATAACATTTGTACATAGTTACCAAAATATAATGATTTTCAAATACAAATAAGTCCATGCAGCTCTTTTATATGGTTGTTTTTCTGAAACGAGTGTTCTGGTGGGTCGCAATGATCACAACACTTTTCTCTGGCTTTTCACCTTTAGCCATATTTCTATTCACCTCGGGAAGGACAGCATGCGACTTTTCCAGGCCATGTGTTCGCATGCGACTTTTCCAGGCCATGTGTTCGCATGAGGACTACATCCCTAACCATATCCTCCCTATAGCTGTGGTCCTTCTCAACCATGACTACCTTTGCAACCCATTTGGAACTGTTTATGAAAGACATCGGGTTGACCACATGATATCTTGGCTGATCAGATTTGGTTGTGGCCTGCTGGCGACGAGCGCCATAATTCTGATCAATGGCTGCCAACTGGGTGCGACAAACCATGCCCTCATATGAAAAATGCTGCCTCTTAGGGGTATACTTCAGTATCAAGGAGTGGTACACCTCAAGATGTCCAGTGTGGCAAAAGAGGGCACAGTACTTCAGGTCAGCTTGAATGACTTTGTCTTTCACAACCTTTACAAGTACATCATGGGCAGCAGAACCAACTGTAAGCCACGCCTTCCCCGACCTTTCCTCATCACTGAGAGGAGCATGCTGACAGGCATGAAAAAGCTCCTTGTCCCTCCAAGTATGGATGTTGGCTGTGTGGTAGATAACCGACTCCCACTTCTCCTTGAAGAGCTCCACATTCCCTTCACATGACTCGGCACACCACCAGAAGTGGTTGCTGATGGACTGCAACCAGTCAAGCAATGGGGCAAGTGCTTTCTTCTTCCCACAGGCTTTCACAATCTTTTTCACAATGCTCTTACAAAAATGCCAAAGATCAAATTGATGGGTGATCTGTGGAAATTCCACCCGCATGATTTTTCGAATAGTTCTGTGTCTGTCTGTGGTCAGGATAGTCACACTGATGCCCCATTTCTTAACATTGGACAGACACTCTCTAAGGCCCATTGGTTCCATGGCATTGGAATTCTTGACGCGGGGGTCGGCCTTGTTGAGGACAACAAAGTCTACAATCAACCCCCTCTCGTCATCCATGAGGGAATAGGTCCCATACTTGGCGCTGTGCCCTGGACTATCACAACGTCCATCCCCAGAGAGAACAACCCGGGGCTCTCTACTTAGTCCATCAAGCACAGCAATCTGACATGAAATCCAGGTCTCATTCACCACAGGAAAAAGATAGCGCTTCTGCAGGGCATAAAATTGGCTTTTTCCCAAGACTGGCAACTTTAAATAGTCAGCCATATCTCGTACCTTACCATAGGTCTTGCCAGAAAACAGGACTGCTGCTGAGAGTAAAAGATTTTCAGCCCCCATTTTGTTTAATGTTGGTTGGGAAGACCAAGTGAAGGTGCATCCCACTGCACATTTTGTGCATATTATAATCCTTGACCCAGACAAAGTTCTTTTTATTTCCCGGACCTCAGCAGCACAACCTTGTTTCTGACACTTCCTAAACAAATCAATAATACAAGACTCAAAAACAAGCAATTTTCTCTCATCTGCAACATTATCTGGTGCAGAGAATGTTGCAATGTCTTCAAATACAGATGAAGCACATGTAGTGTCCTCCACAAGTTCATCAGTGTCACTGTCGTCAGTTTCACTCTCTGTTTCACTTGGAGGAGCAAAGTCCAAATCATTGGCATCATCTTCCATAGCACCGTCACTGTCCTCAGAATCAAACAACTCATCCATCTGGTGTCCCTGGCTGGTGATGTCATTTGTTGCATCCTGAGTGCGTAGTAAGGGCTGGCTTGCCTCGTCAGATACTGCCAGAGTAGTCATGCGAGCTGGAGCATGTTTCCTTCCCACCACATTTTCTGTTGCTGCATACGTGTGGTCCTTGGCAATGGCAGAAAGCAACTGATCCATATCAGTCTGGATGGATTTATCTGTGTAATAAATAAACAAATCAGTTTGGGGAAATATGATAAAAAAGTAATACAAGTTTTATGAATGGCATAATGTAAAACCATAACAAGTCTGGAAAGATTGTACGGCCTGTGACATTGTCGTTTTTAGCCAGGGATGAGATTCCGACAGTAGGGCCTATTACATTGCCACTAGTGCCAGGAGGTCCCGAGTTTATTACTGAATGCATGAATTGACAAATTATGAACTTGAATTGTCCATGACAACGGACAACCATCTTATTGGCAAGCCATCCAGTTACCAGTAAAAAAACATAAGCTGTTGGTCCAGTTTATAATGAAGATAATGTGTTTTCTTACCACTGTTTGACATTGGATTTGCATGTCTACAACATTTACAATGTTTCTCTTCATCCCCTGCAAGGGCGGGAGCAGACAGGGCAGTATCTTGAAGACCTTCTCCAGTACTAGTCGATTCGAATTCAATCGTCTGGTCAAGAATACCACTTGTGTTGCAGTCGTCAGACAACGGTTCACCAGGTCTGTCTTCATCAGCAGGCGAAAGTACATTTTGCAAGAACTGAAAGAAAAATGTAAAACGAAATCAGTTCAGTTGTTATTAAATCAAAGAAATTGAGGTTATCATTAAAGGGCTAATCCCGATATTTTTTTGAGAATAAAACTTCTTAATTTTGTATTAAAATCCCTTAAATTCCTTTAGCTAAGGACCAAGCAACTAACTCAATATTTGTGATACGTTTTCAAACAACTTAAACCCGTCAATCTTCATCTGGAAATGGAGACCGGTGTCCCAAGCTGTATTATGCGGTGTCTGCATAAAACTAGACTTATATTTTATAATAATAATGTGTAGGTGAAATTTACCTTTCGTTATCAAGTAGAGCACATGGGTCATTCACTATATAGACCTCTCAAGGAACGGGAATCGATTATCAGGTCACCCAACAAAAAAACTGACCCGAAATCTTAAAAGGGTTACGTGTCCGGATAAGCAGTTTTGACGTTCACGTCCAAACGTCTCAATATTTTGAGCTAAAATTTATGAGAGAAGGTAAATACACCATTCCTCTATATTTTGGGCGCATAAATTTCATACGTACTCCGACTTTTATTTTTGAGACTCTTTTGAAATCGGGATAGTCCCTTTAAGAAATTACGCTGTTATTTAGATCTTACCAAGCCTGGCATGCACCGTTTACATGATGATAGCCTACACTAACGTTACTACCAGTATACAAGTAGGCCTACATATGCATCAGGGTTGCAATGCACCTACCTTATTTTTGCTCCTTGATGCCTGCCTTTGCCTCCTCCGTTTTGCACTGGCAGACGGAGATTTTCCGAGGGGTCGAAATGAAGGGGGTGTCTCGGGGTCAGCAAATACTGAAGGCACAGCTTCATCCTTCAGGAGGAGTCTATTTGCACAGCCAGCGTGATACTGCGCCCAGTTATCGTAATCATCTCTTACAAAATGCTCACTACAAACTCGAGCTTGGGCATCCTTCGGATCGGAAGGGGCGCAATTCGCTAGCCACTGCCTTCGAATGTGCTTCTTTTTGACATTGGTCGGTAGTTTGTGGAAATGTGCATTCCGAGGATTATTCCTATCCGATGTGGTACAGTGTTTCGCAATACAATACGGCATTTTTTTATCATAAACTTTCATAACTTTATACACGCGACTGAATGGAACTTCGAACAATAACAAAATGGAGTAAGCACAACTGACGTCACTGGTCGTAAAAAAGGTCATGTGACTGCGTGGTTTTGGCAAAAATGGCGGCTCCCATAACTTTTAGAAAAAATCTTCGATTAAATAGCTAAAACTCACTCATAACAAAGTCAGATTTTTGTCAGTTTTTCAGGATACATTTATTTCGATCTGTTGCATCAAATTATCTGAACTTGAAATTGAGTTTAATGAGCAGAGCATTCCTTTAACAAATATGTGCCTTCTCGTTCCCTTTGAACTATAATTTAAGTGCTTCACTTTTCATTTGTATATTGTAACTTGACTATTCCTTTGTATTCTTTTGTTTATTTGAATATACATGTATGTTTTTTATAATCATATCTACGTTGTAAAGCGCCACAGGGCAGTTAGACTGACTGAATCTTCAGCGCTATAGAAAGCGATTAATATTATTATTATGTTTGGTAAAAGCGGCGTGACCCCAAGCAATTTTAGACCTATTTCATTCAGCGATACAGCTACATCATATTTACAGACACATGGACAGAAGCTCCAGTGTGGCACTACGGGGTAGAGTTACGTTGCGACTATCCTTCGTCACGGCACTAAATTAAATTACCAGTAACACTATTTGGACAGATATGACACTTTCTTCTAGGCGTTTCTTCGACTTCACGTAGGGGGGTTGGATGGCCGAATGGTTAGCACGCGTGAGCTGTATCATACGGTCTGTCATTGAGTCAACTGGCGGGGTTTCGATTCCCCGGCTGTACGTGACAAGGAGTAGGGTCGCCTGTCCAACCTCGTGGGTTTTCTCCGGGTCCTCCGGTTTCCTCCCACAGCTAAAGACCCCCACGCGCAAGCGAATTATTGAAATAAAATTAAACCATGTGTTAGTCCCGAAATGACCTAGTTTGTGTCGAGTGGACGTTAAACCCCATTTCTCTCTCGACTTTACGTTGTGAGATCAATTATTTCAATCATCAATTAACTGACTCTGGAACACCGTTTATGTTGTTACTAAGTTTATATAATCAAACAAACTACAAAGTTATGATAGTACTTTTCGAGTTATTAAAATATCCACGGTCTGAGTTTAATATCCTTTCTAACTCAGACCAGAACGGCTTAACGTGGCAAGAGCCACATACTTCTTGATAATTCTACATAAGGTTCGCGCTAGGATGTCCCATTAATAAAAATTAGCAGTATTAATTAGTACGTATCGCCTACAGTAATTAATAAATTAAAAACTCATTACATTACTAACGTTCTTAGTATTACCTGTTAACAGTGAACAGTTTGATCTCATTAACAAATCATCTTCCATTAATTACCCTAACCGTATCTGGTTATTGTTTTAAGACATCCCACCTGTGCTATAAACCCACAGTTAACATTGAGTATATAGGATGGAAAGGTGTAGAAACCATAGAGCACTCTCGCCTCTTTTCGGTGCTTCACTAATCAACATTTGACAGATACGCGCCTTTTCTAAATACGATATAGATACACATCTTAAATGTTTTTGATTTCTGAATTTATTTCTTCTCTAAAATCAAACAAAACAGCATCTTGAAACAAATGTGATCAATATTTATTTCAAGACCTGATTGTACTCTACTCCAGGTTGTAATAACAATTCAACCACACCGTTTATGTTGTTACTAAGTTTATATAATTAAACAAATAAAGCAAACTACAAAGTTATGATCGTACTTTTCGAGTTATTAAAATATCCACGGTCTGAGTTTAATATCCTTTCTAACTCAGACCAGAACGGCTTAAACGTGGCAAGAGCCACATACTTCTTGATAGTTCTACACAAGGTTCACGCTAGGATGATGTGTTAAACTTAGCCTCTAAGCCGAAGAGGCTATGGGTATGTTCCCTTTGAGCTCCGAATAATGTCTTCCCTACGGGCACCGTTTTACGTCAACACTATTCTAGTTAATTGTACTAATCCGTGCACGAGATGACTGGACTATAGTACCCTACTTCCAGCAATGGATACTGACATAACTGTCGGTAAGTTAGTCTAAGATAGTAGTAAAATAATGCAAGCTATTTCATTACCCCAGTTTTCGTCACACATCATGTAGGTAAAGAATTTCTATTTTAAAAAAGAACACCTTTCTTAATACTAAAATAAACCCTATAGTATCATACCAGAACTAGACCCACCAAGTTTGTTAACTAATTCACCCGACGCCAACTTATAGATTGAAATTCATAGTCAAAGATTCGCTTGAACCTGGACCAATTGCATACAAGTCCATAAATCCAGGTCTATCAGAAACCAAGTAAAATATTCCTGTTAAAAACTTACAAATTGGTGACATGTATAGATATTCAAGAAATATATGAATTGTTCGACAAGATGATACAAGTAATACATTTTCACCCGCTAAACTCAACCATCCGCGAGAAACTGGATGTTTATGGTTCTAATGGCGGCCATATTGGATTTATACTAATTATTGGACGTATGACGTTACGGCGTCCCGGTGACGTAATATGGCAATGTTTTTTCTGATTCTTTGGTAGCACTTTCCTATCTACCCGTAATACATTTATACACTCCAAACTCACTGTTTTTCTACTTCTTTGGTAACACTTTCCTATCTACTCGTAATACATTTACATCCGCCAAACTTAACCATTCCCGAGATATCGGAGTTTTAAGTTTCAATGGCGGCCATATTGGATTTATGCAAATTGTTGGCCGTATGACGTCTCAGGGACGTCATTTCGCTTTGTTTTTCTGAGCCATAATACATTTACACCCTCCAAACTCAACTTTTTCCGAGATATTGGAGTTTTAAGTTGCCAATGGCGGCCATTTTGGATTTATGCTAATTACTCAAAAATTTTGGGCGATTTATGTTTGGGAGACCTTCGGTGACCCCTCTACCAGATTCCATCGATAAAAATTCTGTTGCAATTTGTTCTAGGTATATTCACTCCATATGGCTTATCTTCACCCGACTATATGGAGAATCACACTTTACACGGCGAGTTATTATGGTAAACTAGGGTTACATGTATTTGCATCCAATTTCAAAGGTAAA